CAGCCTTAATGTAAGCAATTTAAATAACACTATAAAAAATCATAGGCTCTCATGCTCAGAATACATTCTAGAGCAGGGGTGTCGAACTCATTTATTACGAGGGCTGGATCTGACATAAATGAGACCTTGCTGGGCCAGGCCACGTGTGTCATAAAATATAATGCCAGGTAGCAGAGATAGAAACTTTATAAAGGACACAAACACAAAGGGTTTTTTTTTACTTGAAATAAAAACATGCTTAAAACATTAGCACTCTTGCAATATTTTGTTTATTTAACAGTGTCTGATAACTGACACCTCTTGCTCTGAATGATTGCATCAAAATGTCCGTGCTGTTGCTATCTTGAGTATGCTGTTCAGGTGTGTATCTGTAAGCCGCAAACCTATGATGACACAGCAGCAGCAGAACTGGAAAAAGAAGCAGAAGACAGCCAGTTCCATTGCTGGCCTGATAGAAATCCTCAGGGGGCCTGATCCGGCCCCCGGGCCACATGTTTGACACCCCTGTTCTAGAGTCATGATATCAGTGCAGAACAGAAATGCTGAGTGCATTTGAATGGGGTTCAAAACTCCCTTCTGGTTGCCACCAGAGAAGTTCCTCTCCTCTTCTGAAGAATCCCCCCTTTCCCCAACAAAACCACTACATACCAACACTACTTCTATGCCCAAAGAATCTACCGCAATGATTTTTGTAGCAGGAACTCCTTTGCATATTAGGCGACCCACCCCTAATGTAGCCAGTCCTCCAAGAGCTTACAGTAGCTCCCGTAAGAAGAACTCTGTAAGCTCTTGGAGGATTGGCTACATTAGGGGTGTGTCGCCTAATATGTAAAGGAGTTCCTGCTACAGAAAGAGGCCACATGTATTCCTGAACACATAACTTCTGAGTACTCCTCCTAACCCCCTTTCCCTCCTGTGGAACTACAACTCCCAGAAAGCCTTTCTTAAGCAGCCTTGGACTCATAAAGCTGCCCTAACCTGTGTTAGATCATTGGTTTATCCAGCCCTGAACGGTTTCTCTCCATGGTTTGGGGCAATGGTTTTTTCACAGTCTAGCTAACCAGAGGTCCTTTGAGTAAAAAGCACAGTGCTACTGTTAGGGTCCCCAGCTGATAGGTATAAAAGAGACAGGAGTGACCCTGGTGCCCTTAAATTGCTGTTGAGTTTTCAGACACCACACCGGCAGGTGGAACTTTTCGTTAGATAGCAAGGAGCCTGTTTCCCCGCTGTTGTCTTCAGATAAAGGAGGAAGGGTCACGCTCAAAGGCAGCGAGCCTGTTCCCATTGGATAGGGTGGCCAGCTCTGCCTCAGCAAATGCTGGGAGATATTGAAGGTGGGAGGGTGGAAGTTGGGGAGGATGTGATGTCATTTCTGGGAGAGAGGCCATAGAGACGTGGAGAGATTCCTAGAGCATCACTATGGAGGCCATTTCCCCCCATCCTACTCCTCAGTTTCTTGAAGGCAGGAGGTTGCCACTGAGGGTGGGGGTTTATCTGCTGCAGATGGGCAAATGCCAGGCCTACCACAGGGTAAGAGTTTTGCAAAGATCTTTCTGTTCTGCTCTCCTGCCACCCAGCCAACAGCTCTTAAAAAAACCCCTTTCTTCCAGTGGCTGGTGATCTCTGCTAAACCCAGGGCTATTTTTGGGCAGGAACGCACAGGAACTGAGTTCTGGCTGGCTCCCGAGTTGGCCACGCCCAGCAGGAACTCATTAGCATAATAGGCCACACCCAACAGCAGAAACTCATTAGGATTGGCTACATTGGGGGTGTGTGGCCTAACATGCAAAGGAGTTCCTGCTACAAAAAAAGGCCCTGGGTTTTGACAACAAACAAGGTAAACAGAATAAGAAGCAAAAGGTGGGTGTGGCTGGATGACCACACTTCTGGTAACATGGGGGTGTGGCCTAATGTGCTAATGAGCTGTGCTGGCAGGGGTGTGGCCTAATATGCTAATGAGTTCCTGCTGTTGGGTGTGGCCTATTATGCTAATGAGTTCCTGCTGGGCTTTTTCTACAAAAAGAACCCTGGCTAAACCCTCCCAAACAAGGGTGTAGACTTTCCAATTTCCCGGGGGGGGCT